ATTTGTTGATTTTATACAATGTACAATTATCGCCAATAGTGTCGTCAAAAGTTATTAACTAATAAAGTTAATTAACGTGATATTACAATATTTACAATAGAAAATTCTTAAATTTTTATATAACTTTATAGTTGATTAATTTTGGAAGTATTCTCCAAAATTAATTATTTAAATTAATTAATAACATTTGAATTGTGACTAATTTTTCATATTTGTAACGGTTTTTTTAATCTTATTATGCAATTATTAGATTAATTATCTAAGATTTCTAAATCATAAAGTTATCATTATCAAGTATAAACTTAATATTTTCGTTCTATATATAGCTTATTGTTTAAATAAATTATTAATTGTTTATTTACTAATAACAGTTATTATACAGCTCTTATTAATGAAACCAATTCTTACTCATGTTCTATGTTTATTCACTTTGCATATGACTTATTTATTTTTCTAATATTTCATATGTTAACGTAATAAATAAATCAACTTTGCATATTGATATTCATTATTATTTCATAATTGAATGTGAATTTGATTATAATATTATGAATCTACATGCTAAAATCTATATAATCAATACTTTGTTATATTGAAATTATCTATAATTAACATATTTTTTTTAATATCCTAAATCATTATATCTATGTCTATTACTTTGTGACGTCACGCTGTTTATTTTGATTCGACTCTTATTTGCTATGTGCTAATCCGGGGTCAAAAAGAGGGGTTTCCATTACAAAAAACACTTCGACCTTGAAATGACCTTCAAAATGAGGTTAAAGGTCAAAGGTTTTTGGTGCATTGGGTGGCCCACTCTGTTCTGAACAAATTTTGTAGAGGTCATTTTTCGATATCTTAAAAATTAAAAAAACGCTTAGGCAGTTTTTCAAGCATTTGACCTTAAATCGACCTTCTCAAGGCCATGAAAAAAAATTTTAAAATATCGTTTTGGACGTAAAATTTTCCGCTCTTTCGATTGCCGTTGTCAAAAATAGGGGTTCCCATTTAAAAAACAAAGTTGACCTTGAAATAACCTTGAAGGTCAATCTCAAGGTCAAATCCAAGGTCACCATCGGATTCAGCGGTGAAAGTTACTAAAGGAATGACCTTGACCTTGGTCTAATAATCTCTACCTACAAAGCTACAGCCTTGTTCCGTTACTTATTTGACACCTTGTATATATATACAGGGTGACCCATTTTAAAGGAACCACCCCGAAATTTTCTACGGTAGGCATTCTACAAAAAAATTGTTTCGACAAAAGTTGTTTGGGACAATGAGGAACACCTTTCCCAGAAATCGAATTTGACCTTGAGATTTATTTTTAAAGAGAATGCTGGGCCGATCAAGACAAGATGTTGGCTACCAAGCCAATGAAGGCAAGGTATTAATTACCCAGCCAATTAAGGTAAGGTGGGAATGCCCAGCCAATGAAGGTGAGGTATTGATTATCCAACCACTTAAGACAAGGTGGGAATGCCCAGTCAATGAAGGCGAGGTATTGATTACCCAACCAATTAAGGCAAGGTGGGAATGCCCAGCCAATGAAGGCGAGGTATTAATTACCAGGCCAAATAAGGCAAGGTGGGAATGCCCAGCCAATGAAGACAAGACGATGACTACAGATAGAGTTATGGTCATGATTGTAACAAACATTTATCTCATAAAATGTTCAAAAATACCGCCGTTCAAATTTATGCAGTGTTGTATTCTACGTTCGAAGTTTTCAACTGTGGACAACGAAACGTGACGCGGAATAGCTATACAAGCTTGTATGATGCGTTGCATCATATCTTGCCGTGTTGTTGGTTGCTGTGCATAAACAATACTTTTCAAATAGCCCCATAAAAAGAAATCTGGACTTGTTAGATCTGGTGATCCTGGACATCACTCAGTAATGTCACTACCAATGCCTATCGTCTTCGGTATCGTTGGTTCAAGCAGTAACGAACTATTAATGAGCGATGAGACGGTGCACCGTCCTGATGAAGCCGTAATCGTCGTTTTGTTTCCAAGTCCACATCTTCCAATAATTCTGGTAATTCATTCCGCAGGAAATTAAGATAGGCTGTGCCGTTGACATTTCCATAAAAAATAAGATCCTATCAGATAACCATTTATTATACCGCACCAAACTACGAGGCTCCATCTATGCTGATTATCAACATGACGTACCCAATGAGGGTTCTGGATAGACCAATAGTGACTATTATGGCGATTGAGTTGCCCGTTACTATAAAATGTAGCTTCGTCCGAAAACATTATGTATCTGAAAAATTCAGGGTCTTTGGGAATCCTTGTTTATGCCCAATTACAGAATTCGAGTCTACGGTGGAGATCATCTGGCATCAAAGCTTGAGTTAAAGTTATGTGATACGGATGAAATCTATGAAGCCGCAAAATTGTACCAGCTGTTGTTCTTGAAATTCCAGTACGTCTTTGAATTTCAGCAAAAAGATATGATGATCCAAATCAACCATTGCCAAAACAACGAGAATTCGTGATTTATCGTTGTTCTGTCTCGTAATGCGATGACGATTTCTGCGTATTCGTGGTCGACGTCTCTCTCTTCGTTCAATGATTCGGATTTCTACGTGGTTTGGGTAGCGAAGCCTCCTTGTATAATTTTGACGGCAATATCTTGCTGCACAGCACGATATCGGTCTTGACATGCTCTGAGAGATAACAGAATGTCAACAATTTTATTTCTCGAATAAGCTGGCACACTTGGCCCTTTTGAGTCCCTAGACACTAAGAAATTTCCACGAGAACTATCCTGAGCAGGACTTTTCACGAGTCACCTCTTTCATAAATAATACTAAAAAAGTGTTATTTTCCGATTTAGTTGAAACTCTGTAGGCTTTTCCGGAATCACACCAGAAAAGAGAATAAAAATAATTTATTTTCCTGCAAAATTATTTTCAAAAATTGATTCTACGGGAAAAAAATATAAAATAAACGTATGTAACGTCTTTTTGTCAAACTTCAAATGATTACCTTTCGATAATTTATTTTAATAACTTTTGATAAATAATTGTAAATGTCAAAAGAAAAAACACGAGTATTTTTTTTCGATTTACCTACGATTGGCATAGTTAGTTTGGCGCTATCTTGCCCAGGTTTGGCAAGGGCCTTAATAGATTAAGACAACGTGGGAGTGACCAGTTTAACTTTCTTTCCAAATCCGAAATAAATAAATGAGGTGTTTTGAGTAGCCGACTTGGTAACCAGCCAAGTTAGGCAAACTTGTTAATAATAAAGAAAGCTTAAATTTCCATTTTTATCCATTTTTCAAGGCTTTATTCAAGGATTCATTCAAGATTTATTGAAGAATACGTACAATTTTATTTCATTTAATTAACGAAAGCTTATTTTCCATTTTTTTAGCTTAGACGCCGTGTAAACTTCCTAATTGTTGACATTCTTTTATCTCTCGGGGCGTATTTGTGGTCGACGTCTCTCTCTTCGTTCAATGATTCGGATTCTCATGTAATTTGGATATCGAAGCCTCCCTGAGTAATTTTGACCGTCAAGGCCGATATCGTGCTGCAGCAAGATATTACCGTCTAGTTATTGGGTTGGGGGAGCAAGATATTACCAGCAAGTTATCGGGTTATTACAATTAATCTTACGCTTGCCCGATCATCCCTGTGCATAGATGAAGAAAATAATAAATTTGACCCCTACATGACCTTACGTGGGGTGGGGGGTTAACCGCATCCCACACATAATACCTTATCTGAACGTAGAATTACTCGCTCTTTCCAAATCGGGATCAAAATTGTAGGTTCCTATTCAAAAAATGACTTTGGCCTTCAAATGACCTTGAAAATAAATCTCAAGTTCAAATCCGATTTCTGGGAAAGGTGTTCCTCATTGTCCCAAACAACTTTTGTCGGAACAATTTTTTTATAGAATGCCTACCGTAGAAAATTTCGGGGTGGTTCCTTTAAAATGGGACTCCCTGTATATATATTACCAAATAACTACTATAAAATTGTATTTAAAATCTTATATTATATTAAAGACATACCGCGAATTTCTCCGTCCGTCTCATGGCATAATTTTTGTGGTAATACATGGTGCATTTAATGGGCTGTCGTTGTATTTTTGTTGTTGAACTTTATTGTGCTTATTTCACAAAATGAACAAATTCCAGCTTTTTTTTGCTTATTTCACAAAATGAACAAATTGGAGCTTTTTTTTACAAAGTGATAAGAGAGAAAAGAGAGAGATTTAAGCTTATTTAAGCTTCTTACATTAAAATTTACCTAATTAGAGCTTTCTTGTGCCTTTCTTACAAAATGACAAAATTATAGCTTTTTGTTCTTATGAATTTTTATTAAAAAACAGCTGAAAAAGAGCTTTTTTGGAGCTTTTTATTGTTCGGGATTAATCTTTCCGGATTCAGGATTAATTATTTATTACTTGTTCCTCCCAGCGTTACCCACACGATGTTATTCTATTAATCGTGTATTTAGAAACCCTTACGGCGAAGACATTCTGGTAAGGTTAATTTTCGAAGGTCATTTTTTTTTAGCGCATACATTAATGGAAATTTTTTGACTGCGCTCGAACTATAACAAATGCTGCTGCCGATATCTTTTGTTAAATAATATTTATGTCAAATTTTTTTGGTCGCGGCTGTCGAACGACAGAATATTTCTAAACCACTCTTCAGCGCTCGCATTTATTCGAATGTGTTTTATTTTTTGTCAGCGTTCACATTACAACAAATACTGCTGTATTCTGAGTATTCTGTATTTGTTTCCGAAATCGGTATGTGTATGATAAAGAACAAAAATAATTAAGTTCATGTTATATAAACGAAAACTTCAGGATATTTAATCTGCAATTTTAAATAGAGATATGAACGAAACGATTCGTATAGTTATTGTTGATAATAGTTTTTAAAATATTATTGTAATTTTATGAGATTATATTATTCATTTAAATTCAAGAATATCACTTTTAAAAAATTATTTTTATTATTATAGGTAGAATTATAAACTGTTGTAGAGGATATTGCGTTGATCTACTAAAAGAACTATCAAAAACAATAAACTTTACCTACAGTTTAATGCTGTCTCCAGATGGACAATTTGGAAGCTATATCTACAAAAATAATTGTAAGTATTTCTACTTTTATAAAGTATCATAACTTGCTGTAACCTGTAACTTATATAGATACAATATCTATATAACCCAAAAAGTCTAGTTTAGATTTTAGTGAGGATACAAAGTGAATATTGTCACGGATGTAGGCATTTTCGGCTGTGTCTAGGCTATTTGAAATACAAGTATGAAGGGTGCGATATTTGAGTAAGTCGTAAGTGGAACAAATTTTTTTGAAGCAATTAAATAACGCATGTCGAGCGCGAATTTTGAATCGGAAATCGGCAGAAACCCAGGGTTTCTTATTTGCGCGAACGGTGATCTGGCAGAGGCGAACCTATCAAAGATGGCAGTTGTAGCCTGAGTGAAAGAGCGTTTGAGATGGTCAACAGAGTATAAAGTGGAATGAGGATGGAAAGAGAGGTCAGAGACATTGAAATTGGCAGCTAGTTGTTCATTCAAGGCAGAAGGAACGATGAGATGTAGACAGCGAGAGGTAAACGTTATTGGGGAGTTATGGGGAAAAGAAAAGGAGACAGTCAAGTGAATTAAATCGTGATAAGAAATAAAGGTGTACAGAGATTTATAGAAACTGAGAACTTGTATAGATTGGTTAATAATGAAAAGGTCGAGGGTAGTGTGAGTAATTTCGCCGTTATTTGAAATGGGATGATGGGTTGGCTCTGTGGATACAACTTTAAGGGCATAAGAGTCGAGTAAATCACGAAGGGCAAGAACATGAGGAAGGTTGGAGTAGAGATCAAAATCAGGTCGCCATATATTACAACTTCATTGAAAATGGGAAGGAAAGGGGTGATAGATTCGAAGAAATACGAAGGAGTGGCAGCAGCAGGATGGCTGTAGACAACAGCAAAGAGCAGCTTAAGATGAGCCGTAGACTGGATCTCAGCTATCATGAACTCATGCGTATTATCAAAAGCCAGATTCGAACTGGAGAGAATTTTGACTTTGAGGTCGACGTGGGAATAAAAGCCAACTCCGTCGCCCCCTTTGTCCTCGCAATCCAGCCGGAAGGGAACAGCTGGACAGGGACAGGTGTTCGTCTGGGGTTAAATGAGTAAGTTTGGACTCGGAAATGGCCACTAGGTCATAATGGTTGAGTTAAATCTCTGCTTCAAGAAGGGCAAAATGCCAGGGGACGTTAAGACGGTTAATGTTTATATGCGCGATGGAAATATATGAGGTTTGATGAAGATTGGAGGCCGCATGATCAGGAACTTTATTGGCAAGTTAAATCGAGCTCTGGCTATTTTGCATGAACGTTGGAGAATTGTAGGAACTCATGAGTCGTGGGGAGTAGGATTGGAATTTGCTCTTGAAATACGTAGATAGCCAACAGGGGAAAACTTATTCAGATCGGCCTTAGTTAAGATTGGGATAGAATCGGAGTGCAGAGTGGCTCTACCGAAGACACGAAGATTTTTAACCATTGGCCAGGTATAGCCAAGGTTAACGCTAGCTCTTCTTGCTTTAGCGAGAAGGTCGAAGACCAGCTTCGACCAGATAGGAGTCAGGTAAACCTTTGAGGTACCGCCGCACCCAAAGATGGTAAAGGCAAAGTGCTCCTTCAAACGCGGGAAAAAACGTAGAATTCTGCAGAGGACTGCTGCTGAGGGGTAGTGTTGGCGCCCACCACATGATAGGATGATGTAAGATTCCATTCCCGGGAACTAATTATTAGGGGGAGATCGTGAACCCTTCCGAAGCCGAGGACAATAAGCACGGCAGTGACAGCCTGAAAGAGAGAGCCCTTAAACTCGTGAGAAAAGCTATGGACAAGGATCTGTGGCTTGTCAGTGAAACAAAATGCACAGCCCTGGCATGATGTTCGGCTCGCAGTTGCATATACTGGTGTTCAGCTGCATCTCTCTCTCTCTGGAACAATTCCAGTGCCTCAGACGTAATGATCATGCTAGACGGTAAAGTGATGGGAGCAGAAAGAAGAAAGTTTCTGTGATACGGAAACTCCGCTGAATTAGTAGCTCGAGAATCCAGAATACGCTCAGAGAGAGCGTGCTGTATACAATCGGCGATCGGTATACAAGGTTGCTTGGCGACAGGAAGAAGTAATAGCTGCGAAAGAGAAGCTAAACACTTCTTCGCGAATGCAAAGATGGAAGGGGAGTGACCAGTGGGCGTGGCAAAGACTGAGGCAGAGGTATTATGTAGCAGATGACGTTTAGGTGAAGAACGGTCTGCGCAACAGACAAAATCGGCACAATAGGGAATCGCAGGACGCTAGTCGAGTGAAACGCAGCTGTTGTGGTACAACTGGTTACAGGTACGGCAGAGCAGAGAACGGTCAAGGCGACGCAGGGCGAGACCGCATTTAGCGCAATCGCGAGTTGACATAGGCAGGCGCCTGGGAAAACTCGGCTGGTAACAGTGATCGCAACTAGGCCGACAGCGACAAACTCAGAAGAGCGGTGACTGCTGAGGAGAGCGCGTATTATCACTACCGGACAGGAAAATTGGTGCTCTGCCAGCGGATTCAAATCAGGCGGGAAAGATGCAACTCCTAACAGTTAAGAGGCGAAGTAGTTAAAATTTGCAAGAGAAAAGCGCGCGAAAATTTTGCTATAAGACTGATATAACCTCAAATTTGCAATACAACAATACTACAATATTCATCAAAGAAACATTAACAACAGTAATAATAATATTATGAACAAAGATTAATCAGATTGATGGGGCAGAATGGGAAAAAATAATAATAGGAAGCAAAGAAAAGATAGCGTGGATAATGGAGCTAAAATGGAAAAGAAGAAGAATCGAAGAGGAGAAAGAAGGAGAAAAACAAGAAGACGGAACTTTAAGACCCTAAGGACAGGAGGAAATAGAAGACAGAGACACTAGACTCGCAGACACATCTACATACGCAAACACACACAAAACACACACATACACGCAAATATACTCATACACACACACACACACACACACACACAAAACACAAGTACTAGCAACTACAAAAGCGAGAGGAAGCAGGTATTGGATGCAGGAGCAAAAATGGAAAAGAAGAAGAATCGAAGAAGAGAAAGAAAAAGGAAAACAAGAAGACAAATTATAAGATACTAAAGAAAATAAGTCAGGTTAAGGAAAGGAAAGGCAGAGGGAGCAATAGGAAATGAGAAAAAGGTGCCAAAGCCCTAATAAGGAAAAAAACAGATGAAATGATTAACAAGAAAGAAAGCAAAAGCATAGTAAAGGCAAAGGTGAAAAGGTAAAAGAAAGTAACAAAGAAAGAAGACGAAAAGAAAATAAGCAAGAAAGAGAAAAACAAGAGCGGAAAAGGCAGATCTAGGAGAGAGAGAGACAGGAAGAGAAGATTAATCAACAGAAAAATGGGAAGAAAAGCTGAACAGACAGAAGCAGAAGACAGGGACGCAAGAGTGGCAGACACACACATACACACACAAAACACATACATTATCAATTACACAAACTAGACACGAGACACAATTGAACGTAAGAAATGAAAACCAAATGTAACATATAAGTTGTAAATAAATAAACTAACTAACTATATTATTTAGTTTCATTAAGACTTTGTCTTCTGATGAGGTATGATCATTTGTCACAAAAGAAAGACTGGTGGTGCTGGCTTAGTGAATAAGATCATTAATAACTCACCATTCGAAGCTCATTTGCCTGGTTATCAGTATTGCGGGCCGGGAACTAAATTGAAAAAACGACTTGCTCGTGGTGATTCTGGAAAAAATCTGCTAGATGCTGCTTGTAAAGATCACGATATTACTTATTTTCAGAATCGAGAAAACATTGAGGCGATAAACGAAGCCGACATAATTCTTGCTAAACAGGCTTGGGATAGAGTGCAAGCAAAAGATAGTAGTTTTGGTGAGAAAGTTGTTGCGTTTTCTGTAGCCAACATAATGAAAGTTACAAGTAAACATATACGTATGGTATGGGTGTTGAAATTTTAAAACGAGGAATGAAACGAGGTAAGGGATTGAAAAATCGTCAACAACGACGACAGCGACGAAAAACACATGTAAAAAGTTAAAATCTATTAATTGCATTGAAAAAAATTATTAGCGCTGCCTCGAGAAGTGTTATACCTAGTAATAAATCACTCTTCGTCATACGTTCTGCTATAAAAAGCGCTGAAGAAGCTGTAAAGAAGGCTGGAGGAAGAAGAAAAATAAATATGCCTCGTATTCTACCAATTCCTAGTAAAGTGAGTGGAGCTCTTCCTTTTTTAATTCCATTATTTGACTCTTTGAGCGCCACTGGAGCTCTAGCTGGAAGAGCTACTTCAATAGCAAAAGCCGTTAACAGTGCTAAGGCCGCTCATAATTAATTGAAAGAAGCTCATAGGCACAATAAAACTATGGAAGCTATTGCTATTGGTAAAGAACTTTATTTGAAACCACATCGTAAAGGTTATGGTCTTCATCTGAAATCATATTCAAGTAAAAACGGTTTAAAAAAAGTTCGAAGTAACTTTACCTAATCGAGCACTGATAGATCATGGTATAAGAAAATATGCTAAAATACTAAAAATTGCACATTTTCGAACTGTTTTCATGCATGATGCTCTACCAGCCGATGGACCGCGATATCAAGAGACAGCTATTGTAAATTTAGATAATAAACGTGCACCAGGTACTCATTGGGTAGCATATAAAAGGAAAGGTGACGAGGTTATGTATTTTGATAATTTTGGTAATCTACAGCCGTCTATATATCTTTTGCTTTATATCAAAGTTAATAGAATCATGTATAATTATATTAGATATCAAGATTTTAATACATACAATTGTGGCCATCTTTTTCTCAAATTTCTTTTAAACAAACTATAGAAAAGACGATTAGTATAAAAAATACTCTTTTAACGAAAGACTATCATTTGATATGAATCTGTCATGGAGAATACACTGACATTGAGTCTCTCGGGAACATCGCCCGTACTCGAAACATATTGCTTTCCACCGATCGAATTAATACCAAACAAAAAATACATTCTTGGTCT